CTGTATCTGCAACTGTATTTGATAATGATTTGAACTTTTAAAATATTGCATAGTAAAAACAGAAGCTGCTCTTCATATTAGTGACAAACTTTGGTGATTTTTGATGAGTTACCTTAATTTTTGCTTCTAATTTTCATTTAAAATAGGTTTTCATTCTCGGCAGGTTTCAGTTTCTTCTTCTACGTATTAAAAAAGTTGTTAAACATCTGAGTGGTGCACTACTGCTACTAGTGGTGAGAAAGTGTATTGCACCTTATTCAAAATCAATGTGGTCCAGCGGCCCTCTGCGGCCCAAAGTTAAAAACTGTTGTTCTTTTGAGGCCCTCAAGGTGGCGCTCGTGGCCCACAGGTTAAGAAACTCTGCTTTAGGAAAATGTGAAAAATCTGTTTTATTTTTTATTACATTTACAAAAGTAGATAAAATTTTGGGTTTTACTTTGTCACATGTTTATGGGGTACAGAGGGTAAATTACTGGAGAAAATTCCATGGAAATAATTATAGCATTAGGTAGAAAAAGGGAAGACGGTCTGAATACTTAATTTGGTGGTAGGACATGTTATAAAATACAGCAGCAACCGAGAGGAAGTGTTGTATTATATATGTGAAGATTCTAAGACAAAAATACATTTAAAACCAAAATCAAATAATTAAAAAACAGATTTGAAATGAAGAAACCTCACGTACATTTTTCTGCTTCCTGCAGGGATCTTATAGCCTCACCACACTTATCACTGGCCAGCAGCGTCTGACCGTGGTAACAGTATGCCTGAAAACACAAACGAGTGCAAAGTTTAGCTGAAAAGGACTTGTTTTCTTCTGAGGCAGAAGTGAAAACATGCAGAAACATACATAAGCCATGTAGAAGTGCTGCTTCAGCTGCAGATACTTCCTCCACTTGCTGCTGCACTCCGGCTCCAACGTGTTCAGTGTGTGGTCTGCAGAGACACAAATATCCGTTAGCGTCCTGCTTCCATTCATCTAATATCAGCTCTGACATCATGCTGCACCCCTGTAATTCAAAGGTTTTATGTATCAAAACACAGTTTTTATTTTGTTTTGTGGTTTATCTGAGTCCTACTTCTCTCATGAGCAACGCTCGATTCGATGAACTTTGAACTTAAAGCAGAGATATTATGCAAAAATCAACTTTTTTGAGTTTTTTTTATCATGTTAGGTCATTCCCTGCTCAGAAACATAGCCAGAGTGTTGCTTTAACAAATCCTTGGATCTCCTGTGGTAGCCATGTCAAGCTGCCTAAATGTTTTCTGGTACAAAGCACCGCCTATTTACCCGAAGCTCCTCCCTGGATCGAGGGAACATTATCGGTTGTGAGAGAGTCCATCTTATTAAGTTTTAAAATCTTATATCAGCCAAAAAATCTTTTTGATCTTGTTTTGAGACTGATTTACTAAACAAGAACTGACTGTGTAAGAATAATAATCTTGTTTTCTGAATGTGTAAGATTATTTGTCT